ATCTCTCTCTCTCTCTCTCTCTCCCTCTCTCTCTCTTACTCTCTCCCTCTCCCTCCCTCCCTCCCTCTCTCTTGCTTACTCTCTCCCTCTCCCTCTCTTTCTTTCTCTCTCTGTCACACGCGCACACAAAGCCTCCCCCCCCCCCTGACATAAGGCACATCATGAATCATACATTTGCCCCTTTCTTCTTGGCGGTCTCACAAACATGTTTTCAGTGCATATGTTGATTCCCGACTCTTGTTCCGACTCGCCGACCTTGCCTTTCGATTCCCGACTGACAGCCCGACTGCGCGACCTCCCTTCCCGACTCCCCCGACATTGCTTTTCGATTCCCGACTGACGTCCCTGACTCTCCGACCTCCTTTCCCGACTCTCGCCCCGATTCCCGACCTCCCTTCCCGACTCTCGTCCCGATTCCCGACCTCCCTTCCCGACTCCCCGACTCCCGACTCTGGTCCCGATTCCCGACCTCCCTTCCCGACTCTCGTCCCGATTCCCGACCTCCCTTCCCGACTCCCCGACTCCCGACTCCCTTCCCGACTCCCCGACGAACTCCAAGAAAGTGGTTAGAGCAACGTGTCTCCCCCAGTTATGAGTTATTGTAAGTTCTCTATAAGTGATTGTTGTATAAGTGATTTAGCAAGTTATTTTAAAGTGATTTAACAAGTGATTGTTGTGTAAGTGATTTAACGAGTGATTTATAAGTGATTTTTGCAGAAGTGATTTATAAGTGATTTAACAAGTAACAGTTGTATAAGTGATTTAACAATTATTGTTTGTTTAAGTGATTTAACAATTAATGTTTGTATAAGTGATTTAACGAGTGACTTTAGCAGAAGTGATTTGACAATTATTGTTTGTTTAAGTGCTTTAACAATTAATGTTTGTATAAGGGATTTAACAAGTGACTTTTGCAGAAGTGATTTAACAATTATTGTTTGTATAAGTGATTTAACAAGTGACTTTAGCAGAAGTGATTTAACAAGTGACTAGCAGAAGTGATTTGACAATTATTGTTTGTATAAGTGATTTAACGAATGACTTTCTAAGTGATAGGGGGCCATCGCGCTCTCGAGGCAGCGCTGCGGGTCAAGTACTTGAGAAAAAGCGGGGATTTGTTAAGGCGTCCAATCGCCGTCGTTTATAAGTCTGCAAGCTAGCAAGCCGGCCGTTGCAGCTCCTCCTGCGGGCCTTCGACGCTCCTGAAGAAGGCGGGGGAGAATCTGAGGCAGGTTTGACGAGGCGGCGAAAGGAGGGTCTTTTCTCTCTCTCTCTCTCTCTCTCTCTCTCTCTCTCTCTCTCTCTCTCTCTCTCTCTCTCTCTCTCTCTCTCTCTCTCTCTCTCTCTCCATCTCCCTCTCTCTCTCTTTCTCTCTCTGTCTCTCTCTCTCTCTCTCTCTTTCTCTCTTTCTCTCTCTTTCTCGCTCTCTCTCTCTTTCTCTCTCTGTCTCTCTCTTTCTCTCTCTCTCTTTTGTTTTTTTTCTTTTCTTTCTTTTTTTCTTTTCTTTTCTTTTTTTCTTTTTCGTTTTCTTTCCTGTTTGCTTTTTCTTTTCCTATCTTTTTCTTTTCTTCGTTTTTTTTCTTGCTATTCCTTCTTCTTCTTCTTCTTTCTTTTCTTTTTTCCTGATTCGGGGAAGGAAAGTGTGTTCATTCTTTTTAAATCATTCGGGAAAAATGTTATACCTTTGTATCTTTACTTAAGAAAATAATCTATCGCTATTTTTATGATTCAAGAAATTAAGTATCGTGTTTTACGTTATTTATGACAATAAAGGATCATCTTTACTTCCTATAAGAAAGTGAATCCCTATCTTCACTAAAGAGAAAAAAATAAATCACTCTACTTTCCTCCCCCTTCTCTCTCCCCTCTTTTCTCTCTTCCCCTCTCTCTTCCTTTCTCTCTCTCTTCTTCTCTCCCTTCCTCTCTCCCATCCTCTCTCTCTTCCTCTCTCTCCTTCCTCTTTCCCCTTCCTCTCTCCTTTCCTCTCACCTTTCCTCTCTCCCCTTCCTCTCTCTTCTTCCTCTCTCCCATCCTCTCTCTCTTCCTCTCTCCTTCTTCTCTCCCTTCCTCTCTCTCTTCCTCTCACCCTTCCTCTCTCTCTCCTCTCCTCCTCTCCCCCTTCCTCTCCCCTTCCTCTCCCCTTCCTCTCCCCTTCCTCTCTCCCTTCCTCTCTCTCTTCCTCTCTCCCTTCCTCTCCCCCCCTCCCCCCTGGGCGCGTGGGGACACCGACCGCCGTCCCGCCACCTGTAGCGTCGCGCGCGCCCTGGCCAATGGCGCCGCTCGTTCCAGATGGTTCGGCCGCAGAAGGGGCGCCGCCGCAGTGAGCGTGCGCCTGACGCGGTATTTAGCGGCGTCCGCGAGCAAGGGGCGTCAGTGATGACTTCCCCGTCGTAGTCGCCGATCCCCCGAGGCCGCCGGCGCCATGGCGTTCTCCCCGGGCTGTGTGACCCGCGCGAGTGTGAGTCACGGAGGTCGGGCGTCGCGTTGCGTGGCGGTGTGCTAGGATGTGGTTGTGTGCAGGACGCTGGCGGGATGGCCGTGTGATCGGGGCTCTTCTCCCGGGGTTCCTCTCTCGGGGTTCCTCTCTCAGGGGGGGGGGGGGGGCAGTAGTGGTTTGAGGTAGACGCAAGGGGTTTTGGGGTCGTGTGGCGTGTGTGGGGGCCCCTAGACGCGAGGGGGGGGAGAATCATAAACGTTTCGCGTTACTGAAATCATGCGGATGTGTAAACAAGAACAAAACCATTCGATCCTCTTGTGCTCTTTTGTTTTTATTTTTATTTTCTTTATTTTCTTTCTTTCTCTCTTTCTTTCTTTGTTTGTTTCGTTTCGTTTCGTTTCGTTTCGTTTCTGGCCGGGTTGGAGAACGTAAGTGCATGAATGACAGTCTTAAGGACCGAGAGAATATATGTTACGAGTTGATCTCTGCTCACGTAACTTTTGCCACTTGTCCGAATCCTTTGTCCGCTTATTGTTAGTGATCCCAAGAAGAAGAAGAAAAATAAGAAGAGAGAAAAGAAGAAGAAGAAAAGGAAGAAAAAATGGCGTTTGGCTGTAAAGTGAACGAAGGTTGAAGATCGTATAAAACATATCAGAAATTCTTTAATCGAAAAGAAAAAAAAGAATACGAAGAGAAAAATAATAAAACGGATTGATGTTTGCGCTTGAAAGTAGAAAATGAAATCATGAAAAAGATTTTATAGATCAGGTGTCGTCGGAGAATTCGTGGCCCGTTTATAATCATTCTCAGTTTTTTTGTTGTTTTTTTTTCGAGGCTGTTAAGTGCTCTCCTCCTCCGTCTCGCTCTCTCGTGCTGGCGGGAAATTGCATAGTTATTCACCTTTTTTTCCCCCGAGGACTTGGAATACGTAGGGCGGAGCACAGATAAGTAGGGAGTGCTGTTCTTCGTGGCCTCGGGGGGAAGGGAGAGAGAGAGAGAGAGAGAGAGAGAGAGAGAGAGAGAGAGAGAGAGAGAGAGAGAGAGAGAGAGAGAGTGTGTGTGTGTGTGAGATAGAGAGAGAGAAGAAAGAGAGAGGGAGAGAGAGAGAGAGAAGAAAGAGAGAGAGAGAGAGAGAGAGAGAGAGAGAGAGAGAGAGAGAGAGAGAGAGAAGAAAGAAAGAGAGAGAGAGAGAAGGAAAGAAAGAAAAAGAGAAAGAGAGAGGGAGGAGAGAGAGAGAGAAAGAGAGAGAAAGAAAGAAAAAGAGAAAGAGAGAGGGAGGAGAGAGAGAGAGAAAGAGAGAGTGAGAGAGGAGGGAAAAAGAGAGAGAGAGGAGAGAAAGAAAGAAAGAAAAAGAGAGAGAGAGAGGAAAGAAAGAAAGAGAAAGAGAGAGTGAAAGAGGAGGATAAAAAGAAAGAGAGAGAGGAGAAAGAAAGAAAAAAGAGAAAGAGAGGAAAGAAAGAAAGAAAAAGAGAGAGTAGAGAAACAGAAGAGATAGAGATAGAAAGGGGGAGAGAAAGAGGGAGAGACAAACAGGCAGAGAAAGAGAAAGTGAAAGAGACAGAAGGGGAGAAAGAGAGAGAGAGAGAAAGAGAGAGAGAGAGAGAGAGAGAGAATGTCCGTGTGTGTTGATGCAGACATCGCTGAGATGTGTGGAGATGACGAGTGTGGCGCAGTGTCCCTCTGGTAAACGAATGGGTTCATTTGGTATACGATTAAATGTCCCTCTTTCTTCTTAAAGATTAATATTCAGTTGCTCGTGTGGAATGGATGAGAAAATATTAATAACCCGTTAAAAGAAAAAAAACATGGGTCATATTATTGTTCAGTTCATCGTTACGAATGTAGGGGGAAAAAAGGTATGAATGAGAATAAATATCTTGACAGCTTTGTTTATATTCGTTGTTGTTCATATTCGTGTATTTGTTTCTTTGTTTTTATTTGAGACGCAATCATCTTTACATAGAAAACTATAATGATTAAGAAAAATATATAGTTTTCTCTCACGTCCTCTAATCTTTAGCTAAGTGAAGAAGAAAATGAAGGAAAAAAAAGGAAAAAAGGAAACAAGGAAAGGAGAAGAAAGGAAGAAAAAAAATAAAATAAAATAAAGAAGGAGAAGAAACTCTAGGATGCGTAAGGGTGTAAGGATGCAAGTGTAAGAGTGTAAGAGATCCGGTTTCGGGGAAGTGGCCGCTCTGAACTTAGCTAGTTAAGTCGGGGATCCATTGGGCTTCTTCCGTCCCGAGTTAAGTCGGGGTTCCTCTTTTCCGTCCGGAGTTACGTCGGCATTTCATTGGGCTTTTTTCCGTCCCGAGTTAAGTCGGGGTTTCTCTTACTTTTCCGTCCGGAGTTAAGTCGGGGTTCTACTGGGCTTCTTCTGTCCTGAGTTAAGTCGGGGATCCACTTGCTTTTCCGTCCGGAGTTAAGTCTGGGATACATTGGATTTCTTCCATCCCGAGTTACGTGGGGATTCCATTGGCTTTTTTTCCGTCCCGAGATAAGCCGGGGTTCCCAATGGATCCCCTACTTAACTCCGGACGGAAAAGTTTCCGTCCGGAGTTAA